TCTGGAACTTTGTTCTTCGCGTTCGCGGAAGGACTCTCGCGAACGCGGAGGGTAAGTCAGGCTGAAGGAATTTTCCTTCTACGCGAACGCGAGAAACAGGTCGCGAACGCGAAGCTTTGGGGGGTGCTACCTTCGCGAACGCGAAGGTTTTAAGCCTGGGCAGGGGGAAGGGGATTTTGTTCTACGCGAACGCGGCCACTGGCCCGCAAACGCGAAGGCTCGAGGAGTCAAAGCTCCGCGAACGCGAGCCACTATACGCGAAAGCGAAGGCTAATTGTCCTGACCCTTCGCGAACGCGACAGGCCCATCGCGAACGCGATGAAGGCCTGCCCAGTGATTTTAAAACAGAAGCAAAAACGAGCAGAACCCATTTACTTCATATTTTCGAAATTTGGGAGCATTGAGGTGATTTTCAAAGAACAATTTCTTCCCCAAAACATTGGTATATGATTCTAAACCTTTCTCTTTAGATTTCCCATTGCATTTCATCAATTTTCATCTTAAAATCTAGGGTTTTTATGGTATAAATTAGGAATTTGGGTAGAGTTAAGGCTTTTGATTAATTGGGGATTTAGACCTCGTTTTGGGGTCGGATTTCGAAATTAATTTCATATTTGGGCTCGCGGGAGAATGGGTGATCGGGTTTTGGTTCGAACCTCGAGTTTTAACCAAGCGGGCCCGGGGTCAATTTTTGACTTTTTGGGGAAAATGATAGAAAACCTATAATTAAGAATTGGGTATGAATTCTTTAGCATTTATTGATGTTGTGAAATCAATTTGGACTAGATACGAGTTATTTGGAGGCGAATTCTAAAGGAAAAGCTGTGTTTGATGCTTGAGTTGGCCGTGAAAATTCGATGTAAGTGTTTGGTCTAACCTTAGCTTGAGGGATTAGGTGTCGAGTCCTATTTGCTATGTGTTATTTGTTGAGTACGACGTATAGGCATGGTGACGAGTATCTATACGTTGGTGTCAAACATGCCCGTGAGTCTTAAATTGAAATCGTTGTGTTCTTAACAAGTACTACAAATGCTTAAGTTGTTTATTCTCTGTGTTGGACAAGAGTTATGATTAATCTCGTGAAAATTGCTTATGGTTGAATAGTGGTTCTAGACGAGGTTTATGTTGTGGAGTTAAATGTTGAAACAAGTTTGGTTATAGTTGATTTCCTTGCCGGGATGTATTTACTTCTTACTGTCGATTCCCTTGCCGGTATATTGTTGTTTCCTTATTGTTCCCTTGCCGGGACTCTTTTGTGATTGGTGTTGAACAATATATTTGGATCGGGTTGCACGCCGCAACAATACTATAATTGGATCGGGTTGCACGGCGCAACAATACTATATTTGGGTCGGGTTGCACGCCGCAACATTAAAGGATAAAAGTGGTTATTGTTTTGTTACGGTTTCCTTATTCTTTCGGCTGCGAATTTTAAATCATTCTTTAAGCTTTTTCTCCTGAGTTATTATTGGTAAATGATATTCCCCCGCATCATGTTTCCCCCTCCCATTCTTGACTGTACATTTCTGCTTTGTTTTCCACGGTATATGATATAATTGCACAGATTTATTTGGTAGTCTGGTCCTAGCCTCGTCACTACTTCGCCGAGGTTAGGCTAGGAACTTGCCAGCACATGGGGTCGGTTGTGTTGATACTGCACTCTGCACTCTTTTGTGCAGATCCCAGTGCTTTAGCTTACGGACTGCAGTGAGATTGCTGCTTCTTGATCATCAGGCGATCCGAGGTAGTCCTGCAGGCGTCCGCAGGCCTTGGCGTCTCCTTCTATCTTTATTCCTGTTTGTTTCATGTATTTCCAGAGACAACGTTGTATTATTTCTTTCAGACCTTTATTTGTAGCACTCCTAGATAGTCTGTGAAGTTGTGACACCAGTCTTGAGTAGATTTGTTATTGATTGGCATTAGCAGTATTATTAAAACTTGCAATTTAGTCTTCCGCCTATTTATATTCTGTTGTTATTTAATTTTTGGTTCTTAATTGTTATCGGATTAAAAATGGAAACAAGGTAAATAGTTCAATTGGTTGGCTTGCCTAGCTTTCACGAGTAGGCGCCATCACGACTCCCGAGGGTGGAAAATCCGGGTCGTGACAACTACAACATATGTTTTGACCACAATCATGTAATATGAATGACAGATTTGCATATAAGATTTTCGGGAGCCTTCAATTTATTTTCCACAATCAAATATTATTTAGACACTACTTGTATCATGTGTTTTCTAGACAAACAGTTAGCTCTTTAGCTTTTGATAAAGTTTGTACTACCAAATAGTGCTCAGACACTTCTGATGTCATGAGAGAAATCATAATCAAATTAACAACATAAAGATAATTCTAAATTATTAAATGATGAAAACTAAGAAATTTAATATTTCTACCACTACATAATATTTTTCTGCTTCAGGAGGAAATTTAATTGCTTATTACTCATGAGCAAATTTAAAATACAAAATATTGAGTATATATTCTCTTAATCATATTACCTCTTCTGGAGGTGAATTGTAATATATTTACATCAAGAGCGCGTTCATATTTACGAGCTTTATTAGTATTGTCACATTCACTTCAGGGAATGAATTAATATCTATCAAAAGTTCTCATCCTTCAGGGAATGGAACATAATAATCTGAACGTGCATTAACCACGTCACATTATTCGAACCTCTTTTAAGATATTTGCTACTTCAGGAGCAAATCAAGGCATATATGTAATATGGAGAATTTTTCTCTAACTTGTCTTCAATTGTAATCATAACAAGCCTAAATTACCACTTCTAGTGGTTATGATAGGTATATACCACTTCTGGTGTTTAACAAATTTAGTTACAATGAGATATACAAAGTATTGCCACTTCTGGTGGTCGTACTCTGTTAGAGTTCGAGTGAACCATAAAATTAAGTCAAAACAATACTTAGGAAATATGCCACTGCCGGTGACAATATATTTCTTGAAAACTCCCATACTTAGCCATCAATAGAGATGAAAATAATAAATCATGGTCCCTTCTCGTAATATTTTTCTTCTGGAACAAATTTATGGCATGAACTGCTAAGTGAACCAATTAGGCTCCTTAGGACCAATGAACAAAAATCATACTGTTAGTAGCAAAAAAAAGGAATGTCTGATATGAAGAAAGTACTAACCTTTTGAGTAGAACTCTTAATTACGACGTTTGGATCTGATTTATATCCATAGACTTTTGCTAACTCAACTCAATAAATAGTTAGTGTTAAGCAATATATGAAAGTGCAAAAAGTAATGTCACAAGTCCTTTGCTACAAACCTACTTCAAGATAGCAAAGCAGCAAGGGAAAATAATTTGTCGTTCATAAAGACAAAGTGATATAGTAAAACCTTTAATCCAAACATGGAATCATTTCCATGCTTACTTTGCTAATATGGAAATAAAATACTGACGCCAAAGAAATATCAATCTTTCAACCCCCCGTAAAAAGGGTAGAAATCCATAAATACAACAGTTTGATCTTACTTACAGTGAGAACCGATGGCTTTGGACGAGGATAACTATAGTAATACATCTTTCAAAGTAAGTGCTCAAGTCAGAGTCTCGTGTTGATAACGTGTTATAAAACTAAATACTGCAAAGTAAAGTCAAGTACAGAGAAAAACTGATGTATTATTCAATTTCAAACTGATGTACATACTGAACTGAAATCTCCTCTATTTATAGAAGAAAGGAAGTTGCCGTTAAGCTGCTACTGCAAGCTGCTGTGTAAGCTGATTGTAAGCTGCTACTACAAGCTACTGAGTAAGCTGCTTGTAAGTTGCTTGTAAGCTGCTACTGTACCAGATATAAATAATCTACTAACGGGGGTAATATTTATCCATAACGGAGTATTGAAATGATAAGCTTCTTCAGGAGGCTTATTTCCAATAGAGTACTAAATAGATAAACATATTTACGGCAGAGTCTCATATGGATAAGCTTCTTCAGGAAGCTTATTTATAACGAAGTACTAAATGGAACATCCATAATATAATTTATAGGAGTAACACTTATGTCCTTTATTGATTTAACGTGTACAGGCTATCTTCAATCTGATTGCATGTTTGGTCAAGCTTCTAAAGTTAGCTTATTTTAAAAAATACTTTTAGTGAGAAACAATTTGTGTGCTAAACTCACTTTTAAGCATTAATTAGTGTTGCCAAAATTTTAAAAAGTACTTTTAAATTTATTATTCTCAAAAGTAATTTTCAAAGAATTGCTTTTTGAGAGAAGCTATTTTTTATGCTTTTCAAAAATTATTTTTGCTTCTACAAAAAAGTTCTTTTTTCCTTTTAAAAGTTTGGCCAAATACCTTAACTTTGGCGAAAAAAAAAAAAACACCTTTGGCAAAGGAAAGAAGTACTTTTGGCCAAACAAGCAATAATAAGGTTATGAAAAAGTGATTGTTGTTTGTTACATATTTTAATCCAAAATGTTTCCCCTTTTCAAAAGATAAGGTTGCATTGTTTGTGGAGTTGTAATATGTGATTTAAGTGTTGCTCTAGAGAATTTTGTGCTTCATGTCCCGAAGGAAAAAAAAAAAAGAAAAACCTCGTAGTGTATCAATCTCTTAATTGTGAAAGCGAGAAAATTGTGCATCAAATAACTATCATTCCTTTTTAAACCATCCATAAGTAGGTCTTCATTTTCAGGGCTTAGTTCTCACAATATGCTTAACCTTATATTTACCTTTCATTCTTTGTTTTAGCTTTTAAATGGGTTGGTGCATGGAATCACTTCGTATCAAATACAATGCGTCATGTGTACACCAACTCGATGAATAACTCAGCTATCAAATGACGGACGGACGGACGGATACCAACTGATTAGCCAATTTTTCACAAATTCAAAGCAATTCAATAATGACAAACACCTCAAGGAATTCAATCACCCGAAGCATAGAAATCAGCAGCTATTTGGTATGACAGAGCTTACTAGTCATCAAAGTAACCACTATATATAGGAACCAAAAGATGCATCTGAATATTGAGATTCATTATATAAAAAATAATTAAACAGTAACGTTGAACAATGTCTAAGTCTGAAAATTATATATCTTAAGTTCGACAGCATCCGAACAATACAATGTTGTTAGATGCCATGCCTTAAAATTAACAACTCTCACTCCTTATCCGTCAAATTCTTCATGAATGATTTGCAAAAGGTAGAGCTCATGAATTTGTGCAAGATGCCATTAGTCATGTTTCACCGGGAAGACGTGAACTCTTTATTCACTGCCACCACTTCTTCTCAGACAAAGAAATTAGCTGCCAAAAACAAATAGAGAAGATGAGCAACCATGAGTGAGTAACCATCGGCGTTTATCAAGCTTTGCAGCACACAAATGTACAGATAAAATGAGAAGAACATCAAGGCAACCTGCTAGCGCTTACTTAAATATAGTACACCCTCAACATCCAAACCAGCTAAAACTTGCTACTCGTAGCAAACATTTGATTTCATACCTTCATAATCTCTAAAAAGTTCTTCCTTGGAAGTTCTATCCTGGAGGAAATATTTTGTTCCATAATGAGAAACTCCATGTGCGTAAAATCACTCACTGAGTATGCATAATTCTGTAGTCTTTCTAAGAATTTAAGGGTTTACTAGCCACACGAGAATAGCTGGAGGAGGAACTCTGACTAACTGAATAACTGGTAATGCCCTGAACCACAACTTTCTAACCATAGTTGAAACCTAACTGGTTATCACAAACATTTGGTTCACCAACTTTGGGCCTCTTGATGTGCATCAACACTCTTCAGGAACAACTTTTTGTAATAAGATAAAAATCCTGTAATTGAATGGCTCCGCTAGTTTCTCCCAAAGAATAAAGGGCAAGGTAGAAGTGATGAGGGAGTCAAACCTTGCCGTTCCCAAAAAAGGAGCTTTCAGAAAATGAAAATCTTCGAAAACTCGAAAGTAAGAAGTTACACATCAATGATGTTCGCAATTTAGCAAGACACTAGAACAATACTGCCAAATGCGATACCTATTTTATATCAGCTGCTAAACTTTTTAAAGATGTCCTGAATTCTTTTTCATCCAACGGTAAAACACCAAGCATATTCATACAAACAGCAATATGCATATGTCATATTCATACAAAACCGCAAGTATACAGAAATGGAAATATGTTCACACACACACACACACACACACACACATCTATGCATGCATAAACATCAACATGCATCAGAAACATCTATGAGAACAAAATAGGTGAATAACCAACCTGTCGTGCAACCTGTGCAACTCGGCGACTGTCTCGTGATGATTCTGTCACGCAACTTGACATATTTGGCTCTAGATCATCATTTTGTTTCTCTCCATTTATTTCCTTTGAAGAGCTCTTCTCGATGGGAGCATTCTCTTCTAATACACTCATCAATTCTCTCTTCCTCTTTCTTTGAAAGGTGTATTTGATGACTCTATCATTCACAGTTTGGCTAGGAACCTCATCATTTGCATCAGATGTCTTTGACTCTGAGTTCAATAACGGACTGCTAATGTTTTCAAGATCGGTTCGGTAAACAGGAACTTCTAAACTCTCTAAAGATCTACTTCCTTGTCTTGGAGAATCTATCTTTGCCATCACTAACTCATCCCTGACTGTTGCATTTAGAACCCCAGAAGTCTCAGCAGACTGCAGTTCAGTTCCATCCATTTCAGTTAATCCCAGCTTCATCTCTGGTTCAGCTTTTTCTACTGACAAGCTCTGTCCCACCTGAGAAGGATCTTCATCAGGAGCACAATCTCCAGCAGGACTGGAGTGAGCTCTCAAGCCACCAGTGTTCGATGTTTTATCAACATTCAGAAAATGATCAGAACTGCTTGTTGGTGAAGAATAATCGACTTTCCTATTTCTCACAGCTCTTCTTCTTTTCCGGCGAAAAGATTTCAAAAGGTGCCAGCTGCTAAGCAAGTCATCTGCTTGTTGAAATTCTTCCTCTGGATTAACCACATCATCAACCTTATGATTAGGTGCTGAACAGATCCCTTCACCTTCATCTACTCCATCACCATTCTCATTTTCTCGTTTGGAAACAGATATATCTCCATCTAAAAGGTTTCCTTCACAAGCACGAATTCTCTGCGTACACCCATTTCGGGACAACTCTGGCACTTTGCTTCTCAAAATGATAGAGGGTAAATCTGGACCTGCAACGTAAGGTTTTCCAATTTGAACCATTTTGGTACATGACTGATTTCCCTGATGGTTCAGCTTCATATTTGGAAACTTGGTGTTAGAAATTGTCACAAACTCCTCCTGTGATTCTGGAGGCAACACAACTCTATTTTCCTCAGGTAGTTCTACAGGACTAGCAGTATCATCTTTCCCTAAGTTCTGTACGTCCTTCTCTTTGGACCTGGTCACCCTCTCAAGTTCAGCCTGAACTTCTCTAAGATCTACTCTGAGATCACTGACAATATCTTCTGCTTCCTGAAGTTGAGCTTCAAGTTCTTCAATCTTCCTCTGTTGACTCAAGGACGTCAACTCTGCTTCACTAATCTGTCAAAAATTAAAAACCAAAATAATAAGAAAATAAATTAGAAAACACGTGAAGGACCACACTGGTCCTATCTCCAAAAATACGCGAAAAAAACAAAATGTTCCTCTTATTAGTACAAAAGGAGTTTTCTACTACTCCAAGCACTCCCCTGTTCCTTTAAGTACCGCACTATAGCCCACACTTGCTAACTGTGTTGCTCAGTTACCTCATACCTCTAAGAAGAAGGATATGCAATATTTGGGGCAAGCATCATATCAAGATTCTTCTTACCAATGTGTCACTGACACTCCAAGAAATGAATATAATTCAAATTAAGAATTTCTTTTGCTCTCACGATTCTGACTCTTCTAATTGAAGTAACATGCACTTGACAGGCACATATGAAATACATTTTCAAATTTTTAAATATTTTGGGAAGTACTAAAATTAACACTAAAGAAAGAAAGAAGAAAGTAATACAGTTATCTCAAACAAAGGGCTTCAGTTGCTTAGACAAAGCAAGTCTAGAAACAATGAGAAATAAGAAAAAAAAAAAAAAAAAAAAAAAAAAAAAAAAAAAAAAAAAAGAAAAAAGAAGAGAAAAGAACAAGAAAAGAAAAGAAAAGAGAAGGAAAAGAAAAGAAATAGAAAAGAAAAAAAAGAAAGTGGGAAGAAAAGGAAAGAT